CAAATTTCCTAATTTTTTGCTCGTTTTTTGCATTTTTTATGATTTTACACTAACTTTTTTTACAAAATCTTATACTCACTTTAAAGATACAACAAATATCTTAATTTGAAACAAATTTCATAGATTTTTGATAAAGGGTTGCAAAATTAAAGCAAAAAAACTCTTCTAAAATGGAACAAAATTACGCATTTGCTACAAAATGAAGCAGAAAACTGGGAGTACATTTGCCGTGCTCATTTGTAGATAATCAACAGACCATTGCAAACATCTGGCGCTTGCAAAAGCTCTGCCTATCTGGGTCACCCTCTTCCACCCCCTCCCCACTGAAAACAATACTGAAATAATTCCAAAACGGACTACCAAACTCCTCCAGTTATCTTCACCAGTAGAAAACCGGTTGATTCCGCTTCGCACGCCGCTAATATTTAGTTTCTCATATTCCTAATTAAATTCCGCCAACTTTCCCCCAAATATTGTATAAATATTTGGTCGCGCGTACACGCTGAGAATGCGCAAGTGTGTGGCTGTAACGACGTCGTAAGTAACTGAAGCCGCGCTCAAGAGACACACGCAAAGCATAAACATAAGTATACGGAGACACAAAGGGCGTCTGCGTCGGCATTGTGTGAAAACAACTTGAACATTACTCCAACGAGCAAATGATATTAACACAAAGATAATGCTAAGTTGCAGAGTGTATATATTCAGCGGAATAAAACAAGAAATATATTTGCGATGCAAATAAACGATTAGAAATAGTTTTAATTAAGCGCCGCTGGCACTGAACACGCTTGTGAGATAATTCAACGTTGTTAATATTTGCGCCGGCGATAAAAATGTTTACGCGACTCGACCGATGCATAAAGTAATTTTATTAGACGTCATAACGCATTTTAATAGCGTCGATGCGTCCCCAAAGGCAGTAAACTATTCCGATCTATTGTGTCAATTGATTTTACGACGCATTGCGTTGAGATGAAACAATGCGCTATTAATATACGGGGTTTAGGATGTAATAAAATTATTAAAATAAGCGAAACAAATAGTAATATGATGTTGATTCTTGAATCTGTCGATGTAGAAAACTGTAATGTCGATAATGTTTGTATATAAAGAAGAAAACTGTAATTATAAGGTTTAAGGTAATGATGTGAGTTTTATAGCCACTTTATACAGAAAACTGTAATGTCGGTAAAAAGAGAAAACTGTAATAAAAACACCATTACTTTAATGACAAATGCATAATTCTGTGTGTGCGTCGTAAGTAATCACTGTAATTGGTTCTTACATGTCGTAGGCATATATTAAATTACCCTACTTAGACGTCAGGTCAAGTTAGGGTAAATTGCTTATGCCGCTAAGTGAATTATAACGCGCAGCGCGACTTTGCTAGATACTTACAATCTTACTACCGATGGAAAAGGGTCGGGGGCGGCCGGAGTGAAAAGTACAAGAGGGTGGTTATCGCGTTCGGTAATCGAATTGCTTTAGAGCTTTGAATCTCGACTCTGTTACCGCGTTACCGGAAACCGTCAACTTGGCCTCACTAATTGTGAAGCCCTTTGACTTAATGAACGACCACACACACCCCATTAGAACAAAAATACTTATTTCGAAGCATATCAGATTTATACTCAGGACTAATTGGATTTGGGTGCTGGGGTTTTTATATGTGAGGTGTTTAATGTAAGGTTTCTCGTTTTATTTTGATTTAAAGCAAAAAAATATGAGAAAATGTTTCTTATTACAGTTTTCTGCTTTTTTTACCGACATTACAGTTTTCTATACAAAATGCTTTAAAACTAAGGTTGTAATAGTTGTAATTTACGTGTTTAATTACAGTTTTCTTCTTTTATACCGACATAACTTACATTACCGACATTACAGTTTTCTTTACCCGCGGAATCTAAAACCTGCATCATATTACTATTTGTAAAATGGTTTATTTTATAAAACAAATGTAAAACCAAAGAAAAATAGTTTTAGTAGAATTAGTGATGTGGTGTTTAATTAGTCATTAAGAAAGGAATCATTGTAAGCCGAGCAAATCGTGCCTGCACTATCACAGCACACAAAGACGGCTTATCGTCCTGCGCCAGCCATGATAAGGCCGCATCGCCCTCACTAATATCCACTAATACAATAAGACGGCTCATATTGATCCAACAAACTAACTCCACGCCAAAATGAAATTTACATGTAATAATTTTAAAAAACAAACAAAATCTAAAATTTTAATCCCCTTTGTATTCGCCGAAATTAAATGAATAATTTATTAATACGCGCGGCAAATCCCTACGAATCCACGCTAAGTTACAGCCCATAACTGGCTTCCGGCGCGTTTTGTCAGGAAGCGCGATTAGTTCGCCGGTTAAGATAAGGATTAAGATCTTGCCCGGCGCCTTCGCTTTCATTTACTGCGCGCCTGCACCATTTTCGTTTGCATTACAATTGCCTCAATCCGGACGGTAAATGCTACTCCTAACGCTTTCCTAACGTCACTAACGTCTGTTATCTGGAATATATAAATTCTCGGATTGCAAATGGCGGCGGACTTTTGCGACACGCGAAACGCGCACGTAAATTAATTAAACTTTTCGTGACGTTTGCCAATCATAATAATCCTGTGACCTGATGTTTAATAAGACTGATTACACATCACACATACACGTGTAATTGCTTTGGTTGGATAACATTCCCAGAACGTAATTAAATTAATTAATTGAACTAAGATTCTCAAACTGAGACAGACAAAGTTTAATAATAATAAAAGCCGAGTCAAAACGTAGAAATATTTTTACGTTTATTAATTATTGATGTCGCACGTGCGCTTTATCTGTTGTAATAAGGTGGCGCACCTTTCAGCGCGCAGGCGGCGGAGCGTGCCAAATCTGAGGGTTTTACGAGCGCGAATAATGAACGCAATGCCAAGAAACACAAACACGTTGATATTAATCCAACACCACTATTCGCAAATTCACAAATGGTAAATTCTTAAACAGATAATAATAATAAAATATTTTTTTGGATTTTTTTTTGTGTGAATTTATTCCTAAAGAGAAGAAAGAAACGTTTACTTTTATTTTGTACGTGTGAGAATATTGTGGAGGCGCCGGGCACGCATTCCGACAGTAAATTTCATCCGGATGCATGTTTATTTTTACGTTGTGCCCTTACAGTCGTAAATCCGAGACAGCGCTCGCGCTATAATAAATCCAGTTTTTTTCGGCGGCTCGACCCGAAATTATAAACGGATTTTTTTGTATTTTGGGGTGTTTTTTGGGGAGAATATGGTGTGAATATTGGGAAATTTTGTAAAATAAACATATTGTTATTTTTTTGTAAACAAATCAATAAGATTTTCTTGGTTTTTTACTAATTTTCACAACATTAGCCCGGCGCCTCCACATAATGAAAAAAATATATTCTAATTTATAGTTTAATTAAACTCTTTAGAAATGTAATTAAATTTAATCGATTTACATAAATAAAAGTTTTATTTTTATTTATTTTTGTTTTTGATGATAATTACACTGAATCCAACATGTTTTTCATGTTTTTTTTTAAAGTGAAACAAAAAGCGATTAAAATTAAATATTCCTATTGGAATTTCGCTGCCTTTTTGCGCATTTCATCCTTTCCTAAGTCCTAATGAAATTTATTTAGTTTGCGATCGCGTTGTAAAAGAAGATCCTTCATAGACTTTATCCACAGCAGAGTGCAACCCCGAAAGTCTTTATCCTCGAAATTCAATAGATCCCGAGCACTAAGTATTCCCGAGCGTTACCTTGCGCCGCACACGTTTCGTGTCCGAGATGATAACTTGGCCGAAACTAACTTTGTTTCCCTTATTCTTATCTCCGACCCATCCGGCGCGTGCGCGCGCGAAACTTCAAACAATACACACTCCAAGTTGAGCGTGTTTGAGCAGGTGGCTGTAGCGCAAACTATGCGCACTTTACGTCCACTGGGGGTGGCTGCCAGAGGGTGGCAACTACCCGCACTACTATTTATTTTAGCCTCGGGGCTGGTTTATCAAGGGGATATTCTGATTAGTTTGATTTGTAAACATGACGCACAAAGGGTGCGATCATTTTTTAATTAAGGGTAGTTATTTCAACCCTTGAGAAGAAAAATTTATCGGGATGTACTCGTAAACAGATTTAATAAATAATACGTGTTCATTTATTATTCATTTTTATATATGAAATTTTAAAATGTTATTAATATATTTCAACCCTTGTAATTAAAAAATTATTTATTCAGTAGTAATAAAATTTATAAAATGTTAAATAAAGTCACTTGTTGTGCGCAATTTATAAAAATATTTTTATTTATTTTTAGAACTATTTTATGAGGTTATTTAAATTTTTTCTTGAATTAACATAGAGATTATTATGTGGAGGCGCCGGGAATTTATATTTTCTGTTATAACTTAATAACTACTTGACCGATTTTTATGATTTTTAATTTTTTTAATTTAACTTAATTTATATTAACAGAAAATGAATAAATTTCTGGAAATTTTCCGGTTTTCCGGGAATTATTTGATTTTAAATTTTAATTATATTTTTTCCGTGCAGATATTTCCAGTCCAATGAACCCGACATAAAACAAAGCGCCCTTAAAGAACGTGGAATATCATCCCCTAGCAAGTAAATCACACGGGCGTCGATGGCTTATCCGGGCGAGTCGCGCGTCTGTGAAATTTTAATAATATTAGTCGTTTTTATGCGCGCACAAAAAGTCACCCTTAAATTCACCGTCGTCGTCGCCGTCAGCAGCCGAAAGAAAAATAAACCGAATCAATTTCACGATCCGCATCACGTCGAATTTAATATTATACCAACTACTCTCAAATTACATTCCTTTTACACCACTAGTTGTACAATGGTATTTCGGTATTTAGAAAATAAAATTCTCGACATTTTCTCGCCGCGCGACGAGAACTAATAAAATAGCAGCTGATAAATAAATTGTGCAGGAATGAAAATACTTACCTTGGAAGGCAAGCGCTGCAAGGACGAAAGACGACAGGAAGCAAAACAACAACGCCATCCGACCGCATCCGGCGCATATTTTTATCATACTCATCTCTAACATCTTGATCATTTAATTTTCCCTCATCACTAAATAAGTTTTTAGTCGGAATTCACAATTTTCTTGCATTTTTTCAGCGGTTTGAGTCACTTAATATCCTTTTTACAACGCAGTCCTATTGATCTTTATTTAAACACGCTTCGTGCACTTGCATTAAACATTTTTCTATAAAAATCCACAACGCAAACACTTTTGTCTCGGGAAACCAACATTTCACTTCCGGTTGCACTTCCGGTTTAAATAAAAACACAAATTTTACGTTTTTCAATAAAAAAACTTTAAATATTTTATAAATTAAATAATTTTAAATTATTTTTTGTTATGTTAATAATTTGACACTATAGCAACAATTTGCTGACGTGTTACACTCTTACACATGTGTTTGACACACAAGAACAATCCGTAAACCTTGCGACGTGACGCTCGTGACGAAACTAAACTCCCGCTAGCGTCGTCCGTGGGTTTTATGCGCGGCGTCGCGCATGCCCGCAACTGTAATGCCCGGCGCCTCCACCGTCTCAAAACGCACCTTTGGCGAATAAAATCCTACAAAGTATTTTATTCGAAAATGACATCAAATATTTTCAAAGATAATATTTACGTCTGAATAACAGAAAAATTGCGCGGTTTTAATTAGCTCCCGTGGGAGAATACAACGAATGTGATTAATTTGTTGCGTGACACAATCTTTAGAATACATATGCATTGAAAATATTTCCATTCAGTTTATTCCATTACATTCAGCTTGTTTCCTATTCATTTAGACGTTTATAATTGGCTATGGCAGTTTTTCTTGAATTAAATTAATTAATACGCTAATTAATTTTTTCTTCAGAAAAACACTCATTAAAATTTATAAAATTACAACACGATGATAATAAATTTATTACAGTTGTAGAATTAATTTTTTCTATATGATGTTATGGTGAAGGCGCCGGGATGCATGAAAATAAAATAAATTGCAGGAAAAAGACAGTGTTTCAATGTAAGAGGATTGAGTTGACGATGAGGGCGTTAAAAAGACGTTCATTAGACATCTTTAATAAAAGCGTAATTTACGCTTTCCGGCCTCTGCCTTCGCCGCCCCTTTAACATCGTTTTTTTTCTTTTTGTTTTTTTGCAGCTCACATCAATGAAATGGATCTTTCTAATGTGGACGTAAAGTAAAAAGTAGTTGTCCGACTGAAGCATAACTACATAAATTAGGCCCCGGCGCACGTCTCGGATAATGAAACCCAACACGGTTCGCTTCTCGCGCCGTGCCCGAAAACCAAGCACACACTCGAAAACTCCCAACAGGATCGCTTCATAGTTGTGGAGCTCATGTTGCACGTTGTTGAGCTTTTCGTCAAGTCCTTTCGTCATTATATTTTGGACTTAATCTTCTTAGCTTTCAGGTTAAGTTTTTGTTTTGTTTGTTTCGGTGCCGGGTTGTAGCGAAGGTGCAAACTGGAAAGAATGGCGGAGTGAAAATGGCAGGGGTAGTAATTCACTGCATTGCATTGCATGTTGTTTATTTCCGGTGTGAATGCAGTGTACTCGTATTCATTGACAGGTGAGCTTTTCGGCGATGAAACATTGCCGGATTAGTTATCGTATTTTCTATTATACACACATCGTAAATTATTGCTTGTGATTATTGCAAATTATGACAGTGACGAGGACTGGGTGATGTTAGGTTAGGTTAGGTTAAATTTTGGTAATGTATGTTACAATGTTAATAACTGAAGAACAACTTGGTTGATTTTAAAACTTTTCAAGTGTTAGATTTGTATTTATTGTAAGTTTGAGAATAATAAATAAAATAAAAAAAATAGTAGTGTTTAGATTAGGTTATGTTATGTTTTGGCACCTGATTTAATAGTTAGGTATTATGTCGTAATTAAAATATTTTTTATTAAAAATGTTTATTTTAACTAAAATAAAACAAATTGATTGCAAATAATAAAGGTATTGCGTATAATAAAATTATTATATTTCTACATTATGAGTATTTACGTTTTACAAATTTAGAATCCAAATATCTCGTAAACTAAAAATGATAAATAGGTACAAATCGCAGAGACTATTCTACGGACTAATCCCTTTTAGATAGGCTAGTTAAAGTGGAAATCTGAGAAATGAAATTTTAATTCTTAAGAAAAAATTACCAAAATTATCTCTTAAACTAAAAGCGATAGCAACTAACGAATTGTTGATACTGAAAGATTGGAAAATTCTCAATCAGATAAAAATATATAATAATTATATTTGCTACAGTAAAAGGTTGTAAAACGCGCCTAAAAGTGCTAAAAGTAACATTTTTCAATTTTTGCCCATTTTATTCAATCGCGAATATCTCGTAAACTAAAAGAAATAAATAGGATCTGATCGCAGTGTCTTAATCTACGGACTATTCTCTATAAGATAGGCTAGTTAAAACGGAAATCTGAGAGATGAAATTTTAATTCTTAAGAAAAAATTGCCAAGAGGGGTGCTTGATACTTTTTATTCAAAATGTTTATTTTAAACTAAAATAAAACAAATTGATTGCAAATAATAAAGGTATTGCGTAATCCGTGAAATAATTTATGTGAACTAAAATAAATCAGTCAATAAATATTTAAACATAGTTTAGATAAATTATACTTGCTTGAGTTTAATATATTCAAATGTATTATCATATTCAAGGTTAAAAATCACACGATCCTAACTATAGAACTAAAATTTCTATTTTATAATTGTAATTTTTATGTCTTTATATCAATTAAAATTATTTAAATTAAATTATTAATATTTTTAAAAATATTTGATTATTTTGAATTTTTATATTAATTTCAAAATTATTACATCAGTTTTTCATGCATGGAAATATTTGCTATTGAAATTTTGAAATTATCATTTCCTGATTTAAATATTTTGCGAATAATAATTTACATAATATATAAGATTATGCTTTGCAAAATTCGTATAAATACTCGCAAGTTTTCGTTGGAAAAGTATCAGTTTGTTCGATTACACAAACAGCAACAAATCAAATCAACATGAAATTTGTAAGTACAAAAATATTTTTTAATTTATTTGTTTATTAATTTGTTTATTTATTTATATAAATTATATTAATATAAATGTGCTTTTTAAATTATTTTAGATCCTTGTCTTGTGCGCTTTGGTCGTTGTGGCCTCCGCTACTCCCTTCTACATTGGCTCCGATGAAGAAATCCCAGCTGATATGCACTCAATGGAAGATCACAGCATCCCAACACCCAAGCCCGCTGTTGATATCGCACCCGCCAATATCGCTGTCGATGCCGTTGCTGATGCACCTGCGGGCCATAAATGTGGATAAATTCATCAATTATCCAAAAATAATGGATCGCATGTTATGATTATGATTGTTCCTATATTATAATAATAAAATATTATATATTTCTGCATAAATTTGGTGTTTTTGTTTTTATACTTGTTTTGGAAAAATTTGGTGCGAATATCTTGAGAAATAAAAGTGATAAAAGGGAACGGATGGAAGAATTTTAATCTTCAGAAAATTCTGTATTTAATAAAATATAAAAAATTAAATTGAAAAATTAATTGAAGTTGAAATTAATTTATAAATTAAAACGAGAATATAATGTTTGCAATTTTTATAAGGCGTTTGATGGCGATTTTCCCGAAAATTGAAAGCTATAGAGAAGAACCGACTAAAAATTCTGAATCTTTAAGAAATTTACTATGAGATAAGATATCGACAAAATTAAGAAAATTAGACGAATTGAAAAATAATTTATAAGCTAAAATGCAAATTATAAAATTACTATCTTTATCCTGCGGCTTCGCTCGCGTTGAATCCATCAAATAAATATTAGAAATCAATGAAGTTGCTTACGTACGCGTCTGTAGTCACAGAAGAAGTAACAATGAAGTAGAATGGCGTGAAGTTTAAAATGGCTGAAAGTATAGTCTATGGAAGTATAGTGTACAGTCTCCATAGTGTAGTCAATTGGATTTGATGTTGGCGTAGCTGTCGGTACAGTGTGATGGTACTATAGTACTTAGGTTTGAGCTTCATTGCTGGAATGCTAGATGGCGTTAATGTAGTCAAATAGCCAGATGCAGAGGTATTATTGGCTAAGCTATTTTTTATTTTATTTAAAAAATAATTTTTTATTTTATTTAAAAAATAATTTTTTATTAAACAAAAAGTAGCCTATAACCATTCAGGGACCACTAAGAATATGTGTACAAATTTTCATGATGATCGGTTAAGTAGTTTTGCGTGAAAGTGTAACAAACATCAGGACTTTCGCATTTATAATATTAGTAGGGATAATAGAGATATTTGATGATATTATTAAGTGAATTACGAATAAAAAAAAAGATTTAGACATAAAGAAAAACCAATTAATGATTCCTAATCTACAGAATATTTTCTATAAGATACTTTAATTTGAAATAATATATGACAAAATAAAATAGATCAAAAAATCAGCATGAATTGCATTTGTTTTTGAATTTTTTTTTGTGAAAATTTTGACCTCAATTATCTGCACAACCAACATTGTTAGATTCTAATTATGATTCTATGATTTGCTATAAAATAAATTATTTAAATTATGAAAACTCATGGTCTAGGAATCAAAAATTTAAAATAAAAAATGCAAAAAGGGGTTTTATTTATTCTTGATATTTCAACTGTGGATATCTCCTAAACTAAAAACGATAGAAACGAACGGTTTGAAGAGTGCTTTCTGAATGCTCTACAAGATAAGACAATTTATGAATTATTATTAACACAGCTTGACATACATTAAACTATTTGTTATCGAGACTCCTCAACACCTGTTCAAAATATTTCCAGAGTTATTTACATAATATTGCTATTTATAATCGTATGATTGCACTTCACAAGTATACATAAATAGACAAGAAATCCGTTTCAATGGTACCAGTGTGTGTGATTATTCAAACAGCAACATGAATAAAAACAACATGACTACATCAGTAAGTACCTAAAAATACCTATAACTCATAAAAAATAAAACAATTGTACTTTTAGCTTTTTGCTTTGCTTGCTTTGGTAGTTGGAGTCTATGCTGCCCCATTCTACAGTAGTGCCAATAACGTTATCCCGGAAAGCATGCCTTCAATAGCAGATCACAGCTTTTCGATTGAAGACCTGCCAATCTTTGATGTAGAAACTGCTGATACCGCTGTTGATCCCTTTGTTGATGTACCTGTTTTCAACAAAGGTGGATAAAGTAATCAATTTTTCAAAAATAATTGCTGGTTTGTTATGATTATGGTCAATCCGCTAATGGTATAATAAAATTCTTATTTTTCTGCATAACTTTCGTTTTACAAATGTAGATTGCGAATATCTCGTAAACTAAAAGAGATAAATAGGTATAAATCGTAGAGACTATTCTATGACCTATTTTTATAACATAAGATAGTTAAAGCGGAAATCTGAGAGGTAAAATTTTACCCTTAAGAAAAATTGCCAAGGGGGTGCTTGATACTTTTTTCGACGATTTTCAAAAATTCATATCTCTTAAACTAAAAGCGATAGTTACCAACGAATTGTTGATTCGGAAAGATTGGAAAATTCTCTATCAGATTAAAGTATAAAATGATTATATTTCTTAGAGTAAAAGGTCGAAAAACGCGACTAAAAGTGCTAAAAGTGAAATTTTTTATTTTAGCCAATTTTCTTCAATTGCGAATATCTCGTAAACTAAAAGAGATAATTAAGATCCGATCGCAGCTTCTTAATCTATGGACTCTTCTCTATAAGATAGGATAGTTAAAATGGAAATTGAGAGGTAAAATTTTCATCCTTAAGAAAAAATTGCCAAGGGGGTGCTTGATACTTTTTTCGACGATTTTAATAATTAATATCTCTTAAACTAAGGGCGATAGCAACCAACAAATTGCTGATTCAGAAAGATTGGAAAATTCTCTATCAGATTAAAGTATAAAATGGTTATATTTCTTAGAGTAAAAGGTCGAAAACGCGACTAAAAGTGCTAAAAGTGAAATTTTTAATTTTAGCCAATTTCCTTCAATTGCGAATATCTCGTAAACTAAAAGAGATAATTAAGATCCGATCGCGGCGTCTTAATCTATGGACTTTTTCTATAAGATAGGATAGTTAAAATGGAAATTTGAGAGGTAAAATTTTCATCCTTAAGAAAAAATTGCCAAGGGGGTGCTTGATACTTTATTTCGACGATTTTAATAATTAATATCTCTTAAACTAAGAGCGATAGCAACCAACGAATTGTTGATTCTGAAAGATTGGAAAATTCTCTATCAGATTAAAATATAAAATGATTATATTTCTTAGAGTAAAAGGACGAAAAACGCAACTAAAAGTACTAAAAGTGACATTTTTCAATTTTTGCCAATTTTCTTCAATTGCGAATATCTCGTAAACTAAAAGAGATAATTAAGATCCGATCGCAGCGTCTTAATCTATGGACTTTTCTCTATAAGATAGGATAGTTAAAATGGCAATTTGAGAGTTAAAATTTTCATCCTTAAGAAAAAAATTGTCAAGGGGGGGTGCTTGATACTTTTATTCGACGATTTTCAAAAATTCATATCTCTTAAACTAAAAGAGATAGTTACCAACGAATTGCTGATTCAGAAAGATTGGAAAATTCTCTATCAGATTAAAGTATAAAATGATTATATTTGTTAGAGTAAAAGGTCGAAAAACGCGACTAAAAGTGCTAAAAAGTGAAATTTTTAATTTTAGCCAATTTTCTTCAATTGCGAATATCTCGTAAACTAAAAGAGATAATTAAGATCCGATCGCAGCTCTTAATCTATGGACTCTTCTCTATAAGATAGGATAGTTAAAATGGAAATTTGAGAAATAAAATTTTCATCCTTAAGAAAAAAATTGTCAAGGGGGGGTGCTTGATACTTTTATTCGACGATTTTCAAAAATTCATATCTCTTAAACTAAAAGAGATAGTTACCAACAAATTGTTGATTCTGGAAGATAGGAAAATTCTCTATCAGATTAAAATATAAAATGATTATATTTCCTACAGTAAAAGGTCGAAAAACGCGACTAAAAGTGCTAAAAAGTGACAATTTGCATTTTTTGCCCATTTTAATTAATCGCGAATATCTCGTAAACTAAAAGAGATAATTAAGATCCGATCGCAGCGTCTTAATCTATGGACTTTTCTCTATAAGATAGGATAGTTAAAATGGAAATTTGAGAGATAAAATTTTCATCCTTAAGAAAAAAATTGCCTAGGGGGGGTGCTTGATACTTTTTTTCGACGATTTTTAATATTTAATATCTCTTAAACTAAGAGCGATAGCAACCAACAAATTGCAGATTCTGAAAGATTGGAAAATTCTCTATCAGATTAAAGTATAAAATAATTATATTTCATAAACTAAAAGGTCGAAAAATGCGACTAAAAGTACTAAAAAGTGACATTTTTCAATTTTTGCCAATTTTCTTCAATCGCGAATATCTCGTAAATTAAAAGAGATAATTAAGATCCGATTGCAGCGTCTTAATTTACGGACTATTCTCTATACGATAGGCTAGTTAAAACGGAAATTTGGGAGATAAAATTTTCATCCTTAAGAAAAAATTGCCAAGGGGGTGTTTGATACTTTTTTCCACGATTTTTGAAAATTCATATCTCTTAAACTAAAAGCGATTGTTACCAACGAATTGTTGATTCTGAAAGATTGGAAAATTCTCTATCAGATAAAAATATAAAATAATTATATTTCCTACAGCACAAGGTCGAAAACCGCAACTAAAAGTGCTAAAAGTGACATTTATCAAATTTTGCCCCTTTTATTCAATCGCGAATATCTAGTAAACTAAAAGAGATAATTAAGATCCGATCACAGCGTCTTAATCTACGAACTCTTCTCTATTAGAGAGGCTAGTTAAAACGGAAATCTGAGAGATGAAATTTTAATTCTTAAGAAAAATTGCCAAGGGGTGCTGGATACTTTTTTCGACGATTTTTGAAAATTCATATCTCTTAAACTAAAAGCGATTGTTACCAACGAATTGTTGATTCTGAAAGATTGGAAAATTCTCTATCAGATTAAAATATAAAATGATTATATTTCTTAGAGTAAAAGGTCGAAAAATGCGACTAAAAGTGCTTAAAAGTGACATTTTTCAATTTTTGCCCATTTTATTTAATCGCGAACATCACGTAAACTAAAGAAGATAGACAAGAACGGATGGAAGTTTCGAAATCTACATTAAATTCTCTATAAAACAACCTAATAACATATCTAAAATCTGAACTGAAAATAATAAAAAAAAATTATTTTAATCAAAAATTTAGATGCGATTAGATTTTTTAATAATCCTGACTATGAAAAACCTTAAAATTCGACAATTTTCTCTACATTCCAATGCATTTATACTATTTCGATAAAACACCCTTGTGCAGTCATCCACCTCTGAGTGGTTTACTGACAGGGTGGCAAAATCTGCACCTGCTCTTCCCCCACACGCGCATCGCAAGATAAATGCTACAAACCTGCAGACGCCATCATTCCTTTCACAATTTCTCCCTTCATCCCTGTGCATGTATGCACTTTCACCCCAAACGCATCGAACCATCAAATTTCACGCACCAACTTCTCCTCAAAAGACTTCCATGATTTATAATAATGTTCACTGATTGCTCTTTACTCTCCACCCAAAACCAGGCGAGGAAAAAGTTTGCGCCATTGTTTGTTGCACAAATCCTGCTAAGCCAACACTGCTCCACGAGATTCGAGGGGTTAGAATCCGTGTTGCCTAAGCCGGATACCCGGATGCATAAACAGGAAGCGAAAAGGACGCGGGCAAGAAAACAAAGAGGGCGAGAATACGTCGCAGCGAGGCGGTAATGCATGAGTGTCATAAAGTTCATACGTTTAGTTGTTTTAAAGGCTGCTCTGCTCACCATCGTAAATAAACCCAGACGTTTCATACGCAAACATATGTTTACCATCTATTCCCATCCACAATAGAATAAAATACAGTATTTTAGTTTCGGTACGAATTCAATTAGATGCAGTTGTTGCTTTTACAATTTGACACTTCACTGACGGCGAAACCAATTAAAACCCCAACCAGTGCTCTTAAATTGATTGTTTTTCCGGTTTCCGTTAACGAATTTTATTCGCATCATTTATTTGCGTCAAAATTTGAATTTTGTGCGCGCATCGCGCCTGTTTGGTTTGTTATTGCACGAAGCTGCTTAAATATGTAATACTGGCTCTGTGTGCGCTTCCTCTCGCGCGCGCCGTGTGCTCAATATTTAATGAGAACTAAAAGTTTGCTCATAAACACACACGACACGTGCACGCGTGGCGGCGTAAGCTACTTATTTTAAATAGCTTGACTGCCGTTCGAAATGGATTTTGGCATCACTCCTATAGCTGGTGGGGAACCTCTTTAATTTTCATAACTTTAATGCGCGCCGAGCGTAAAACCGTAAAACACCTTAGTAAATTAGAATATCAGTAATTAATACCCACAATGTAATTTATTCATGGAATTATATACTTCCCACCATACACTCATCAGATATTGTGACGTCATGATTTATTGAAGCAGCGCGCCCTCGGTGGTGGTTTTGTAAGCTGTGACAAGTGTTGACTACGCGTGGGTTGATGTAAATTCGTTGTTTTAAGAGTAAAAAGTGAGAATTACACCGTAATAAAAGATGTATTCACAACCAGATGACGAATTGGGCTTTCTGTAAGTATAATAATAAGTTGTAATAGCAATAAACATTGCAATACATCAAAATTCGTACAAAAACTAATATAACCTCACTTTTTAGCACTGAATAATCATCCTATATTAAGACAAATCTTAGTATCAGCTGTTGTTTGGTGAGTAAAATAAAGATAATCATGGATTTTTAATGTAAATAAAGTGTATTTGTATCATTTTAGCACCATAATAATATAAAGTTTATCTTTTTTCAGTGACCTTCAATGTTTCATAAAACAGCGCCCTCCTTAGCAGTTTCTGTAAGTACCGAAATAGAGGGCGCTGCTGTAGTAACTTCACCCGCTAAAATTATTTGGTTATGAGAAACGTGCGTGTGTTGCTGTGAATTGTCCGTTTCTGCACAAAAAACTGATAATACAGGTGTTTCAAAGAGTTATAATTATCACCAGGTGATAAATTTACATCCATGTAAGTATTGCAACAACGCATTACACTAATTTTACACACAAAACATTTCTGTCTTGACTCATGTCTATTTTTATCATTTTAGAACAACGTGTGTTATGATTTTCAACCTGTTTCAATCGGCAGCAGAGTTAAATCAGTATTCGTGGAGAGTATGACTGCACGTAGCAGATCCATATCGTCCGGCGTGATGTCCCAGCCGTTGAGCTGCCCGAGGACGCGCAGTCTAGGACAATGCCCCATCAGCAGCTCGACGCTGGTGAGCGTCAGCCCGCGGGCATTCGAAAGCCAAAGCTCCTCCAGCGAGGCGAACTCACAGTCGGCGCACAGCCGGAAAACGTCGCCGTCCGTCATGCGGACGACGTCGCCGACGAGCAGTCGCCGCAGGAATGGCGTGTTCATCAGGAAGTATCTCACCAACGCATCGCCCACCGAACAGTACAACATCTCCAGACTCTCCAGCGCCAGAAAATAATTATCGGGCTGCAGGCACGCCAGCCGGTTGCATTTGTACAACTCGAGCGTTCGTAGCTCCGGGCATGCAATACACAATTGACTAACATCAAAAACACTTGTATCCCGCAGGAGATTCACTTTGAGGAATTGCAGTTTATCACCGTGCCGGTTGAGATAGTCTTGGAGTTCATCAGCGCGGCATGCGGACACCTTCAATGAATTCAGACGTTTCAGGCAGCCGAGTTTACTGATGACGCCATCTTGCGGCGAGTTGAAATGGACACTCTCCAGATTTGGACAAAGGTAAGCAATGGCGTCCAGAGATTCTAAACTTGTGCGGGTATCGTGGATATATTTAAGTTTAGTCCTAAAAGTTGGATCGGATTGTTGAATACTCTTCAAGGCGCCCCCAATGAACGAAAAAGTCTTCAACACGTTCAGATTCGGGAAGTTTTTGATTAAAGACACTATCACCTTTTCTTCTTCGGCATCATCACGATCCACATAGGAAATATCACATACATTCGCTTTCCCGAACATACCAATACTTAAAACTTTCAAAGTATCACTTTTCAAGGTCATTAGACCTTCCCGCGTGAAATTACACTCTCCCGAAATGTCCAACACAGTCAACTGGTCACATTTGATCGCGGTTTGTAGCACTAGATCATCCGCCATGTGCGGAATGATCAACACCTTCAAATTCTTCAGTTTTTCTATAACACTGATCAAAAGCGTCGGGTATTCTCTCAACCACACTCCATGCAGGTTCAAATGTTGTAAACCTGGCGCCTTGGTTCGGATAACCTCCAAAATGGCTTCGTAGTAAAATTGTGGGAACATCCCAGTGTCCAATCTGCGGACATCTTCACGCAGGGATACCCGCAGACAACTGAAGCGTGTGGAAGCGTCCAAGTTCTCCGAACTCAGTACACGTTTAATGATGTCCTGTAGGACTTCCCCGGTGGCTTCGGAGAGGTAATTTGTGAGGGTCTGATCGTCGCAGGGCTCCTCGCTGCCCAGGCAGTGGACGAGTAGATTGGAGACACATTTTAGACAGAGGTAGCTTAATGGTAGGACTTCTAGCTTTGGCGACATGCTCGACACTGACCTTAAAATTGCAAATAATTCCGCGTCGCTTTGTGGGTTATTTTCGTTTGAATGCGTGGTTTATAATTAGCGTGACTTTGGCATCACTTTGAACCCCGCACGCATATTGCGATTGTTCACTTTTGAATTATTTTGTTGAAAGAAACATTTGATGATTTATTTATTCAATTATTAAATGTTGCACAATTAATTCGACACGAAATTTATTGTCGTGGTGTAATAATAAGAAGCCGGTCTTGGGAAATAAACCACAAAAAAAAACAAAGGATGTTTGATACGCTCGGAGTTTTTCACTGCGTCGCGGTCGGTGGTTTGGTTTGGATTTAAGGAAACGTTTAGAAATCGATAAATCTCACGAAGACGCGCATCGTTGTGATACAATGCGGATAGCAATACCGCGTGGCGAAAAAGGACGAAACAAAAAGGATGCGAAGCATGTGCGGATGTTTGCAGACGGCATTGTTGCTCTCCACAATGGACTTTTCGTTTCGCGCTCGCCTTATAAAAACAATCATATCGACTGTGCTACGGCTACAATGTGTGAGCAGGCGAAGTGCTTCGGAAAAATAAAAACAAAAACACGCTATTTCTCGATGTTGCGTTTGTGCAATTTGTTTTCGGAATTTTACTTTTAAATGCTGTGGAAATATTATTCCGGAAGTCGGACATGTTTGATGAGTATCATAAAATATTTGCTTTGAAATTAATACTGAAGTATATATCAAGTCGCGTGTATATGATCTATAACGTCTTCTATAATGTTCAATAATGTTTCACGTCGCGTGGTGCTTATTTATATTTTTCACCCATCTCAAAAAGACATTTATTTCGCTCTGGAGATGAATGTGTGAAAATGCGTCTCGCCGAAGTGCGCGGAGATTCATGGCCAATTTCCGGTCATTTTTCATTCGGAAATGTATAAATTTTGGCGGGCGCGCGCGCGCAGTCACCGATTCGATGACGTTCGATTTATAAATCGTCTTCATCTTCTCGTCGCCGTCGTTGTCGAAGAGACGTGGTCGCAATATAAAACACACTCGCGCGCGGCGGACGTCAGAAACAAGCATCATTTTGATTAATAAAATTTGTTCGTGAATTGAGTTTCGCTTCCTACTTACGTATTACTTGCCGCTGGATGTAAGGCGTAAGTGTAGCAGGAAACTGAAATGCATTTCCGATTACGTTTTCTTACGGCGCTCGGCATTATGCCGATCTTGTTATAACTTATCCACTATTCATGAGCGCGATCCGCGCCATTGTATTGTATATTTGCACAATGCGCGCGTGCGAGCGCGGCCGCCCGAGCGAATTTATCGAACGTGCAGATTTCCCGACGAGAGAGTCTTAATATTTTATGTCTGCCTGGGCGAATTGCTTATTTGGCGAGCGCGGGGGCGAGCAGGCGGGGGCAGGAGGACGGCAGCAAGAAAGTGTAGCCGGAAACGCGATGCTATTTGCATTCGCGCGCGCGCTGCTGCGAAAATAGTGAGCGAAAATTGTAGATGATGAATGTTTGTTATTCAATTTTCTTCGGGGCCAAAGGCAGCTCCCGGGGAGTTAAACTGGACAGGTGGAATCGTCTGCAGAAAAATTGGGTACACACGACATGAGATACATGTCATTTTACGCTGTTTTGAATTTGTCAACAGCTCAACCCACGTGCAACACTTAATTTTGATTCAAATCAACAAAAATACATCTCAGACACCCTGTATAATTATGGGAATTATTTCAAGCTAAAATTTAGCAAGAAACATTTAATCTGGGAATCAATTTTGACTAAATTCAACAAATCTACATTAAGAACACCCTGTATAATTATTTTTCTATATAATGTCATTATAGCTACGTTGTTATGAATTTATCAACCGTCCAATTTGATCAAAACTCGATCAGTTACTTAACTTAGGCAAAATTCAACAAAACTACCCCGTATACACCCTGTATAATTACGGGAATCACCTGAACCTTAAATTTAGACAAAAACATTCAATCGGTAAATTATTTCCGACTATTTTTTGCAAAACATCCCTTTGAACACCCTGTATAACTATGGGAATCATTTAGGACTTAAATTTAGCAAGAAATATTCTATCTGCAAATCAATTTTGAGTGAAGGCAACGAAACTACATTTCCAACACCCTGTATATTTATTTTTCTATATAATGTCATTATAGCGACGTTGTTTTGATTTTATCAATTTATCAACCGTCCAATTTGATCAAAACGCAATCGGTAAATTAATTTCGACTGAATTCAACAAAATTACTCTGTATACACCCTGTATAATTATGAGAATCACTTTAAACTTAAATTTAGCAAGAAACTTTCGATCGGTAAATGAGTTTCAACTGAATTTTACAAAACAACCCCATGAACACCCTGTATAATTATCTGAATTACTTGAATTGAATTTTTTTAAATAATATCATTATACCTAAACAAGTTGTTTATTAGTAGGCGTTGAAAGTGTAACAAGATGCTCATTAATTAAGGATATAATTGCGCGCTTAGTCAACGCATACCGGCACTTAATCGTTGAATAATTTCAAAGTAGCTCGTGCTCGTCGTCAACTTGAGATTAACTACGCCGTCAACGTAGTAAACAAGAACACAACAAGACGACGACAGCATCGCCGGCGTTATCTTATCTCATTTTCTAAGACAGGAATCCAAACTAGAATTTATTAAAATTTGTTTTGCTTGAATTTGTATTCGGTGTCCCGCGAGTGCAGCTAAGGAAAAAGGGCAACCAGGGATTGAAATGAATTTGTAGTTTATGCGTCCGAAGGATTGTATCCTGCGGCGTACGCAAACCCCATACATGTTGAATTATATTGAGGCAGGTTGCTGGTTTCGGCATAATTTTCCAAAGCCTAGTCGGACGCGAGTCGCCGAGCGGAACTTATTCGGATGCAAATTTCAAGCGCAACGACATGGAAAAAATAAAAGCAAAGTGAATTTTTTCCTCTTGTATTTTTCAAAAGAGGAAAAAATACAATTACAAATTTTATTTTTGGGTGGATTTAGATTATAATTATTTATTTATGTAAAAGTTTTGTACTTTAAGTCGTTAAGGTATGGGATTTGCAATAATGGATTGTCACTTGAAATGATTTATTCGCGCAATGATGAAAATCTTGTCGCGGCTCGTTATGCAAACTTTTCCGGTTTGCCTCGGCAAGAAAAAAAGTTTCCGCTCGCCCGTTTAATGCGCAAATACACAAGTCGGCTGGGGGCGTAAATGAATCCGTGTTCGCCAGTTTCGGAAACTTGGCTGGCGTTGGATTCGTAAAAATATTCCGGCGCAGAGCAACGCGCTCAACACCTGATTAAGAAAGTTTTGCGGCTTTCCGGCGTGTGCAACTACTTTCGCCACATGCGCTCACCTGAGGCTCACCATGTTGCCGATTATCGACGAATAGAATTAAAAACTCTCGACACCGACACCGATTTCGACTCTGCTTTCCGGCAACTTTTTAATGACGTTCAAGTTTTACCCGCGCGCGCGCATTCTATATTGAAACGAAAATAAAATTAATGTTCGGAGCGCGATTTTTTTGCGTTCTGGTGGCGGGTGTAATTAGGGATGCCGGTAATTTGTTTTCAAAGTTTACACACGCGTATTAGGCGCCGAATTACGGGGCTTTCCCAAGCCGAACCAATAACAAAGTTCGACAAGTTAAGAATATATGAGTTGACCTAAGCAATACCGCAGCCGGACGCCCATTCATCATGAGCCACTTCATTTCACTTGTGTGTTGCGCAGCTTGTAGCTTTTCTATTTGTTGTAGTGGGTTCGATTCGATTACAAAGTTTTGAATTTTTTGAGGTGTTGATTTACATCCCAACGCGGCAATCAGCGAAACTTTTTTTTGCGAAAATAAAATCATATTCAATGCGTGTTTCTGCATTTGAAAGTTTCATCACGTGTTTGCAACTTTACCCTTTCCCCGTTTTGCATTGCGGGGGAGTTTTGTAAAGTTATGCCACTATCTAATTACACGATATTATAAATTATCGAAAAGCCGGTAACGAAATATCAGCCGCGCGCGGTCGCGAGAAACTCCCGAAAGTGACCTTTTCGCTCGGACAACTTCAAACCGGAAATCCAGCGGAATCCGCAGGACCTCAATAAGGTGTACACGACAGTTTTCGGCGCTGGATCGCAACGGTAAATTATCGGCGCGGAAGTTGCGGCCCAATAAACTACAAGCGGGTGAAAGGGTGCGTGGTTGGTCATAAAGCGCATACGTCATGTTTGCGTGCGTCATAAATGTTTTTGGCATTTTGTGTTTGGCTTGTCATCGCAAGTATTGATTTTATCGGCGAAAATATTAACGCCTCTTTATTAAAATGTGTATAAATTTTAAGACGACAGCAGAAAGCTCCTATAAAAGCTCAATCCTTGTTTTGTTTGGTTTTGTTTTTGATGAAAAAAGCTTTTCAAAAGTAAAATCTTGATGGTTAAAAGTAGAAAATATTTTATTTATAAGATTTTTTTTGCGTGTTTTTATTCGGTGTACATCAATCGTATATTTTGCGTGTTTTTGCGGGTTGTGGAAAATGTTTAAACTTCAAAGTAATTTCTTGCGAATTATTGCTTCCAGTCGATGCGAAGTTTTCGCAAGGAAAAGCGCATTTTAAGAGTACAGAAAAGGCAAGGATGCGAAAAGAACACAGCGGCGTTCTTCGTGCATTCGCTACACGGCTACAGGTTTGCGCACGTGCGCGGAATAATGCGCACTAATACAATCCGCAATTGATTAAACGAAATCGAAATAACTACCCCTCAGGGCTGGTTTGTTTGTTTGTCGCATTGTCATTTTTTTCTTTACAAAAAAAAACAGAAAAAATGTTTTTTATAATTTTTAATCGAAATTTTTTCAAATTATAAGTTTTTTTCTGTTCAAACAATTTTGAAGATACTAAGCGTAACCGGAAGCAGTAAAGGAGGCTTTTTATGACTAACATTTTTCGGCATAATAAAAATCAAAAGCCCATAAGCCACCACCAACTTTTCGACGATTATGTAAATCATAAAATTATGAAAGAAAGCCTCGAAGACTACCATCAGTTGTGCACGTTTCCGGTTTGCGTAAATTTATTACTTAGTATTACTTTTTATGACGCAGGCGAATAGATTTAATGAAAGGGAAATATTTGAACACTTGTAAAAGTGTAAACTTTATTTCAATTCGAATAATTGCCGCGCGTAAAATCGACTGTCGCCCGGCAAACGATTAGCAGCGCACAACGCGTTGTGTTCAATGTCGATGTGCGCCGCACGTCGCGAATTCAATTCGGCACGCCGCTTGTAATCAAAGTAATGTTTTCGCCGACGCGTTTTCAGATTTGCATTTGCAGCCGCCGCCGCCGCCGCCCGCTCGATTTGCCGCCGGCATTCGTAATCGTCCACCACTACCACATCCCGCGCGCGAATTCCTCGCGTTGTGAGCAAAAGAGTTTTTCTTCTCTTCGGGCGTTCTTTTTTATTATTTTTGCTCAAAGGAGCAGGCGTTAAAAGTGGAAACTAATGATGCGGAAAATGGAATCACCTTCGGATCCATTTGTTCACCGGGAGCGATATGTGCGCTAGTATATTTTCGTTTCCTCGCTTCAATATCCCATCCCTTTACATTTACACCCCGACCGTCTGGAGTCGTCGAACGATTTGACTTCTCACCATTCCGCATTCTCGCATTCCCCTCCCTCCCTCCCGGCACGGTTATCGCGGCGCGTATCTTTAATGTGAGCACCTTTTTTTCTCTTCGCCGCCGCCAAAAACCCGGACGTTAGCATTAAAACGCGTTAAAAGAACGCCGACGCTGGCCACTCGTTAACTGCGCTGTTAATCAGATGTATGCAACCCCCGCCGGCTTGCTGGCTGTAATCTGCGAATGGCTTATAAAGTCGCCGTTAACAAACTTGAATTAAAAAAGTTTCCCACCCGGCGTGTAATCTGCGTACAATCTGATTATATTGTTTTATAGAAGTGTGTACAAGCGACCCCAAAGTGCGCGCCAGCGAGCTTTCGTCTCTTCCATTTAATGCGATTAGAGAACAACTTTTCAACTTAACGTCCTGCAACGCAGTCACTCACAAAAGCATCCAATCGATAGCACCTTTAGGAAACTTGCCGAAAAAAATCATATTCTTATTGAGGCGTTATTATTTTTTTTTGTTTCAATCGCGTTGAAAATCGGGATAAAGTGCTTTTTAAAATCGGCGAGTTAATCAAGCCGAGGCTTAAGACGAACTCCGGTCGGACGCTGCAGAGCCTGCTCTTTATCACTTTATTACGCCGAAAGCCAGCGCAAATAAAAGCCGGAAAAAAGAAAACGCCGGAGCGCATAAAGTGAAAAACCTGGTGCGGGAAAATTAAGGCAGGAATTTACTCGAAACTCAAAGAATGCGCGGATTAACTTTTTTACTTTTCCACCACTCGGAGAGTGTTAAAATATTAAAATTATAGATTTAAACAGAGTGCTTAAGACGGTAAGCAGTCTCCAGCTTGTCTTTGATAGAGTTCAGAAGAGGGTATTTTTTGCCGTATATGCCGCCAAAGTCATCCGTGTCCAAAGTCCACAGCATAATTCCTCCCAGACCTTTGTTTACCGCGTAATCAATCTAAAAAAATATTTTTTTTAACAAATTTTTTAAATAACATAGGAAATATTTACCTTGGCGTTGTAGGTATCTGTGTCATCATAACTAAACCAGTCGTTTTTGTAATAAGCGTAACAGTTACCATCATTTGAGCAGTCGGTTTCATATGATCCAGTTTGGAGATATCTTTGGAGCTAAAAATTATTTTTTACGAAAATATTTAAAAATTTAGTGTTGTTTGCAATACCTCGTAGTAACTTAAGAATCCTTGCTCCCCAGTATAAAGACCAGCTTTACCCATACCGTCAGTCAATGCTCCGATGTCATGTTCTTCAGGATCCTTCAAATTGTAGCTTCTGGCATAGCTGGGAAGGCCTAGAATTAATTTTTCTTGGGAAAAACCTTTTCCTAACCATAGGTCAACACTTTTTCCTATTAAAATCATGATTATTTATATTTCTTGGGTAAAATTTTATTTTTTTAAATCTTGACTTACAATTTCGCTAATTGGAGCCATCAATCCCACTGTTTCTGAAGTAGTAGCGGTGTAATCATAGGCCATTAGGGACACATGATTAACATATCTAAAAATATCAAATTAAGTTATAGAAAATAATTTTATTCTTAACTAGCTGTTGCCCGCGACTTCGTTCCGGCAGTGTTTAATAAAAATGTAATTCGTTTTTACTCTCTTGTTCTAGACATACTCGTAGTATGAGTCAATTCTATCAATAAGATTAGCAATTTTAAATTAAAGAAATTAATTATATAAAGTTTTGTCAATAATGCACTTCAGCGCGCCATCTCGAATTCAACTATTTAACTATAACTATGATTGAATCTCAATGTCAAATTTTATTCTATAGAAAAGAGCTGTTTTGAGGATTTTCCCGGCAATTATTCGAATTTTTCTCACCTTTTAAACCTTCCCTAGACCTCCACGAATAATTCAAGACCAAGATAAGATAAATCCGTTCAGCCGTTCTCGAGTTTTAGCGAGACTAACGAACAGCAATTCATTTTTATATATATTGATAGATAGATATAGTTTGTTTACTTGCTAATTTCTGGCACATCATATCCTTCTTCCAAAAGTGAAGATACGATTGGAGCAGCGATGGAGATTTCCAAGTCCCATTTGCTAAATCGTGAATGCATTTGCTTCAATAGCAAAACAAAATTCTGCTTGTCTTCGGCTATACCTCCGCGCTGACCTGGATATTCCCAATCTACGTCCAATCCGTCAAAGTTAAAAGCGACAAGGAAACGCAACGCGCTTTCGACGAAATCCTCGCGCGACTTATCGGTAGATGCCATCTGGAAATATTCGCGCGTATTAAATATTCATATTCAAAACACGGAATAAAATATTCTAAGACTTGCCACTGAATACTTTCGTGAGCCTTCGTTCCAACCGCCAATCGCGAGGATGGTCTTCAGACATGGGTTCTGCACTTTGAGGTCTGTAAAGTTTCTCAGGCCGCCTTATTTTTCAGAAGGAAGTTTAATATTAATAACGAATTTGTTTTTGGGTTTTAATTTTTTTTTACCATGAGAAACGTCTACGTTCTGATCAATGTAATCAACTGCTAGGTTTAGATTCATTCCGACGAAGGAGTAGACAACGTGGGTGCATAATGAAGTGTCTATGTTGGTAGTGTCAAAAAAGCCGATATCTTGACGGTAATAAGCCCAGCTTGAGTAGTAACACACGATTTTTGGTCCTGATGTAAAATTTGTTTAGTTTTTTATGATTTTTTGATTTTTAAAAGGTTAAAACTTACCTGTTGGGCATTCCTCGGCAGAAATTAAATTAACCGAAAGGAAACTTAATGAAATTACCCAAAATAAAATCATTTTGAATCGTTTTCTATAAGAAATAAATCAAAACTAATTCACTTTCTATCGTTTGATGAGTATTTCTATATTTTTAAAGGTAAATGATAAGATAACAAATATTTGCCATGTACTTATACAATTTATTCTTGACTGATAAACACACTATTAGCACTGATTTAAAATCAATTAGTTTCGCTAGTTTTCGTTATGAAATTTTATCTCTAAGTGATAGTTTCCGTTTGCCTTCGGTTTTTCCCCATGCAAGTTGTGCAAGCAAGAGGTTTAAAGTTTTAACCACGGAATTTGCGCGTCTAAGAAAGATTTACTGCAGTTTGCTGAGAGTTGCTGAACCCTTCGGCAAATATTTATTCGTACTTATATACAGCGACGTCCAGACCGCGCGCTTCCAACTGCTTATCCACCCAATCCCGGTAGAGCGCCACGTTGGCGTAAACACCTGGCGTGTTGCTCTCGCCGCAGCCGATGCCCCACGAAACGATGCCCACCTGCACCCACTTGCCCGGATGCCCCGGGAGCGGGCATACTAACGGGCTGCCGCCGTCGCCTTTGCACGTATCCTTGTTGGCTTCGCCGCCGGCGCAGATAAAGCTCTTGTCTAAGTGATAGAACTTTCCTAGTCGCGTTGACCGTAATGCTTCCAGGCAACTGCTTCTTGACACGATGGGCAGCTCGACTTTTTTTAATATTGATGAATGTTTGCCTTTTTTGAATGCGTCTTTACCCCATCCGCTAGCGACGCAGAGGGTATCATCAGCGCGGTAACCCATTGGAGGTAGACAAATGAAGTTGATATTTTTTGCTAGTGTGATGGTTTCTTCAAGAAAAAGTAGAGCTATGTCATTTTTAAGTGACCCGGTTTGAAATTGTGGATGTATGAGGATTTCTTTCACGCGGTGGTCTTGATGTGGTAAAGGTTCGTCTTGACTGCGGGTATTCCACTCCCCAACGCGGATTGTCCATTCTTCATCCAACATTCCAGCCACACAATGGGCTGCTGTCAATACCACTTGATAACTTATCAAGGATCCTCCACATTTATACATGGATTTGTCATTTGCTTGTAAAAGTAGGACCACTGTCCATGGAGCCTCACCAAATTGGGCCTTTACACCATTACCTGTGATTCTAAATGATAACCCTAAAGGTTGTTCTAATCCACATCCTTTTAAAACATCTTCTGATGGTCCAATTGAGTTTGCAGTATCAGGTTGTTGATGATCCACAGGGGTCTCACAACATATTTCAAAGTAGTTTTTGCAGTCATGACCAGGATCAAACCTTCAAAGTCAAAAATAAAGCAAAATGTAGATTCCCTCGTGTGACCTTCTTACCTAATATCTAAAAACCCTTCCCCATTGGAAGTTTTGTCATGATCCACGCACATATGAGGCGGTACACAAACACATGACTTTGCTTGTATCTCCTGAACACTGGGATGATCCGGTAGCTGCTTGTACTCGCCATTGTAATGCAAATTCAGTACGTCACCTCCTCGCAAAGTGGCTGGAAGTAAAACCGACAGTAAAAATAAAACCACGTGCCGGCTCATGATGTGGTTGGTGTCAAACTGCGCGCGAATAACAACAAGATACGATTTGAATTCTACGCCCAATTTGCGTGTGTGCGTCCTCGAAAAACAAAACTAGTAACAAATTTCGCTGTCAGATGTCTTGAGATTCGGCGCGCGCGTGTTTGTGTTTGATTTGCAAAGTGTTTACCGGCGCGGAATCTACAAGTGCGCCGCGAGTCGAAATTAAAAATAAATAAATTAAAATCGAAAAGTTTCGGCACGCACTTGTTGATTTAGCCATCGCTCAGCTCAGCCCTCGTATAATGCGAATCGATTTCGCGTGAAATTAAATTTGAATGCAGATGCGAATCGGCATTGTGTACACATTCCTCTCTTGCGCCCGCTGATGAAATACACTTTTCACCACGCGCGTTCGGCAGACGACGCCGAATAATGAAAGCCAGGCAGGCGGCGGCGGCGGCTTATCTTAGACGTGACAGACGACGGTGATTCCTTCGCATCGCCGTCGATGGAAAACGCTCGAGAGGCAGAAAGAGGGTTGTCTGCGTTTTTTTTGTTTTTCCGTTATCGGCAGGCGCACGATTTTACGTCTAGGTGCCTAGGAATAAAAATCAAACAGCGCAAAAATCGCCCGACTATTATATCTTCAAAATCCAACAGATTTACGAGCCCCGGATGCAATTTTCACCATTTCTACCATTTCAAACTGTCACGCTGAAATCGTTGCGCACATTTGATTTTTGTTTTATGCATCATTACAATGATGATCTTTTCGGGACCGAGCGCGGAAGATATACTAGCTGCTTAATTTTTATTGCCCGCCTCGTTTCGGCTGTTAAGCGGGCTAATTACAGGTGAGTTCGGTTATATTTTAGTGCCGACGTTACGGCATCGCATTGCTCCCCAGAGGGACCGAAAGCTCCGGTGGCGCAGCATCAAGCGTGCTTTCTACGGGCTCCTCGCGGCGACACACTAACTAGATACATCACCGAACATTCTCGCGGTCAGGTTAGGCAGGCAGCAGCCACTCGGAGCGAAACTAACGTCGGAGACACATCGTCTCGTTTTGAATGGCAGCCAACCTCGACCAGGAGTCGAGCACGAGTCGAGTTTGCTCGCAAAACTGCTTGATAACGGTTGACAAAATCAACGTCTAACTAATTCGGTCTTGTTAACCGAGTTTTAGACAAACAACTCGGCGCGCTGGTTGTGTTTGTGCGGGTGCGAGTGCATAAACAATTTGCGGTTCTAGTGGTGGTGGACACAGTGACATCGTATGTTTGCGTTTTGAAATCAGTGTGCCATCGCGCGGCGCAAATATCAACACGTAATGAAATTCTGCAGTTATCAGTCGGGCGGCGGCGGAAGCAATCTTTTCGTCGATCAGCCCAAATCCAATATATGATCCCCGAGGAGCTAATGCGAGTCTCGTCCATTTCACAGTCGGCAGCATTCGAATATTCGGATCAAATTTTTGGCACCGGCAACTTGGAAAATATGTGTGTACCTCGGCGTCCGGCGGAAAATAAATTCCATTTCGTTTATTGCTTTCGATGTGCCTCCCAATCAAATGATCATAAAATTGGACCCTTGTCAGCGCGCGCGCCTAGTCAGTCATTCGGACTTCCGGGTTTTTGTTCGGATTCGATTAGGTCTTAACTACAATTTCTACCGGGCTACATCTGCCCATCTGGGCGGATATATTTGCGATGTGGGCGCAATTCGATGCTCGTTTGGCTTCCATCGGAATGGCGCTCGTCGAAATTGTTTTGCTCACGTCCAGATGCTACCTACTTTCCGACTTTCAAACATTTTCACAACATTAACCAACTCATTGTAATTACCCACATACAATTGTTAGTTTTATTGCTTTTGTTTCTTGCAATTGTGTTGTGTTGTTGATGATGATTTTTTTTTTGTATTGCAACGTTTGATTTGTTGGGTCAAAAGTTTTCCACGCGTTTTCATAAAGCAAAGGAGTTCGATCGTAAATAACAATGTTCATGTTTTTGGCACGTTATTAGGGGGCATAAATGTAATAAAACGATTATGAACGGACGGGCCCGAGTTGTAACTGCGCGCGAACGGGAAAGTATTAGCGGCAAAGCAAAAAGAAGCAAAAAAAACCGAGACGATTACAGTCGCGCCCCGAAGTTGTCCCATACATCTTGGAACTTTTAATAAGAAACTTAAACGAAAACGAACGAACCGAAATAAAAATTACTCGACGCCACACGCACCACGCCGAGAGACATTCCATGGGGTGGGCATTGGGGGTGGTGGTGGTGCGAGTTGTGATGGTTAAGTTGAAGCGACTTATTGGAAGCGTGCTTGAATTATTGCGAGCGACGCCGACGCCGACGGATGACGCCTTTCATCATAACCGATCTCGAGACGCGCACCATTTCGTGCAAAACCACCCCGGCCGCCCTCACACCCCGGGCACTATAGAGCACGCAGTCGTATGGTTACAATTTGACGTATGTACGTCGCCGTCGAGTTTCAATTTTTCTGCGGAGCAGTGCGCGGGCGGCAAAAAAATGAAGAAGAAACGCCTGGAAATGTGCTGGAAATAATAATGTCGTCGTCGTCGTCGTCGTGTGCGCGCCCGCTCGAGCCCCAGGTTGATGCATTTCGTCGCGGAATTGATCGATGAATTCCATTACGTGCGCGACGTGGAGGCCAAAGGTTTTTAGGGTAATGTATAGTGCTAAAGCAGAAATAATGCGCGTGTGTGCCACCAGCAGCCAAGACGTATGGAGCGCCGCATCGAGAGGTCGCCCCCTAATGAAATTATATTTCTCCAATTACTTTAGAAGCTCTCTCGCCGGGTCCGCGCGCGTCTCGCTTTCCTTCATGCGCTGCCACCGTGTCACATTAACGCGCGCCACTCACGCCCCCGATTCTAAATGTTGACCTTGTGAACCATATTCATGTTCATCCTTCTTAAATTTCCTCGTCTCAGCTCGTAACCAGATTATTTGATGTTCTTATGCGATAATGATGTACTCGTGGCGTTGTGTGGCGTCTGTGGCGCTTTGGGGATGAATGTAATTGAGATCGGAATTACATTGAGCGCTAACAAATTGCTCAAACAAGCCACCCCTCTTTGGTTTGGGCGACTTTCTGCTCGGAGGCGCGCGGAATCGAGACAATGCCGCCGTCGAGCAGTCGGGGCCGGGGGAATTATGTAAATGACGTCAGGATCTGTTGCCTCTGAGTCTTTTATGCTCCTGCTTAATTTCTTCATAGATTAACCTTTTCGCCGTGCACATATTTTAAACTCGGCTATCCTCAAACAGTTCAACACAAGAACGACTTCCATTATTTTCTCTTTTCATTGCGTCGTCGTACAATTTTTATTTGCTTTTTTCATACACAGTTTAACTTTGGAAACATTAAATGCAAATTCCGTTTCTTTCTAGGTGCGCTCGCCTCCTTCCCGTTCCGGAATCCTGGATCCGACAAACAGAATCCAAAGTTTATTCGAAAGTCTCGCATTTAAGGCGGCCGGGGCGCGGGGGCGGAGGAGAAGAAGGAGAAGTACTGCTTGCTTTGTATCGTTTGTGAGCCGGGGATCGAAGACGACATTCCTGCACAGTTCTCTCCGTGAAGGAAGAGCCGGACAGGTAATTTTTCCACACGCACGCGTAAAACAGCCGGGAGTTCAACTTTGCCTACTTGGGGATTACAGTAGCGAATAATTTCTCACGGTACTCCTCATGGGAAATTAAAACAAAGTGTTTATCTTTAACCCGCCGAGTTTATATCCGGTGTAGAAAAATGCGCGCCGCCGTAGAGTATACAAAATGAAAATAAACATTCATTACCTCATTATCGCTGCGGCTCGTAACACCGTGCAAAAGATGAGGAGGTGCGCGAGATGCATAAGTAGGTTTATTCGACGTATGGAGTCTCCGAGATGCGAGCGCATGGAGAAAAATGGATCGTAAATTTTCGGGGCAAATCCCCAAGAAATGTGAAATTATTTCACATTTTCCACGCTCGAGATTTATGTAAACACGAGCGCCCTGGGACTTGCTCGCTCGCATATCAACGAGACTACGACTGCCTCCGAGTTGGCGCGCGCGCGAGCAAAAAAACCCACGACCAATGCAATTTGGTCCGTAGAGGATGCAACACATGTCATTACTTTTGAGCAAACATTTATTCGAGTTTGCAAAAATTGATAGCTACCACTAAACATAATCAATTAGTGTCACACACGTAACAAAAAACTTTTTTCGCTTTTCTTCGCCAACGCGCCGCTCAAAAGTTTTGAATTAAACCTTAAAAGCCACTTTAAATCATTGCCAAAGCTTCGGTGGTGGTTAATCAAAGTTGCCCGTAGGTGCTACGCGGGAATTCGATGCAATTGGAAAACAATTATTGGTGAAAAACGTCCGAATTCCCCAGCGGGTTCGACACCAAATTGACACGTCGGCGAAATAGTTTGTTAAAAACCAGCAGGACGAATCGCCGGAGCGTAGCCCGCACGTTCAACTTCCTAATGCGCGGTCTCGCGAGAGCACGCTTTCTTAACGTCGTCGTCGTCGTCGTGGAAGGAAGCTGCTGGAAATCGCCGTGGAATTTATACGCGACGAGAGAAAAGGATAACTGCCGAATCACATCAACACACGCACATTGGCAAACAAAGCGAGAACGAGCAGCTGGAGTGGAATCATGTATTGAAACATGCTTTTTCTCTTGACCACGACGGCGACGATCAAACTTTCATGACGATGACTTGTGAAGGGAAGCATTTGTGCGCCGAGTGCGCCCATTACAAGGTAGGGCATATAATAATTCCGCCAGCGATCAAAAATTCATGTGCGATTTTGTGTCTCCCCGAGGCATACGGCAATACTTTCCGTTGTGATTTCAACATTGCAAAGTGCCGTGGGTCAAAAGTGGGACGTGAAAATATTTAATTTCCGCTTTTTTTGGTCATTGTGTGGGCGGTTGTTACAAACTAATATAAAACGGGGCCGGTGCACCGCGTGAGCGGTTAAATCTGAGGGCCTCGTCGCGGTGGGCGGCATGACAGTGACGAACTGTGCCTACATTATCTCGGCGCGGCCTAATTTGACCGGCCATTTATACCGATTATTACCTAACTCAAACCAAAACGGACCATTTGTTGGTTTGACCGGCGCGAACGTTTGTACGGGCGAATGCGTGGAATAATATCCCTGACCCTGTTTGCCGACTGACCCTGCGGTGCAAAGAAGCGAAAACAGAAAACATTGCCGGTTTTTGTAGGTGCCGCCCCAGGAATATCAATTATTTAGATGGACTTTTTCCAGACGGGAACTTATCAACGTCATTTTGCAACAAGAATGCTACAAAAGGTACGTTCACTAGTATTTTTATATCGTAATTATTCCCACCAAATTTTTTCACAACTTTGTGCCCAGAACACCTTGTATTTCCTAACCTAATATACTTTCTCCAAGTTTCTTGGCGCCATACTATAGTCCAAGAGACCCTTTTTACGATGTGTTTTATTTCAATCCCTTCAACCTTTTAGAAGTTGGCAATTTTATGAAAATTTATAAACATGGTGTGGAAAACACCCTGTATCTCCTATTAATCCTTTATTTAATCCTTTATTTAATCTATTTAATCCTCTAAACCTTTTAGAAATACACTAAAATGTCCTTCAAAAGTTGGCAATTTTATGAAAATTTAAAAACAAGGTGTTGAACACAACCTGTGTCTTCTAAACTAATACCCCTTTTCCAAGTTTTTTGACGCCATTTTAAAGCTCAAGAGACGCTCTTTACGATGTACTTTATTTCAATCCTCTAGACCTATTAGAAGTGCCCTAAAATGCCCTTCAAAAGTTGGCAATTTTATGAAAATTCAAAAACATGGTGTGGAAAACACCCTGTATCTCCTAAACTAATATACTTTCTCCAGGGTTTTTGACGCCATTTTATAGCTCAAGAGACGCTCTTTACGATGTACTTTATTTCAATCCTCTAGACCTATTAGAAGTGCCCTAAAATGCCCTTCAAAAGTTGGCAATTTTATGAAAAATCAAAAACATGGTGTGGAAAACACCCTGTATTTCCTAAACTAATATACTTTCTCCAGGTTTTTTGACGCCATTTTATAGCTCAAGAGACGCTCTTTACGATGTACTTTATTTCAATCCTCTAGACCTATTAGAAATGCCCTAAAATGCCCTTCAAAAGTTATCAATTTCATGAAAATTTAAAAACATGGTGTGGAAAACACCCTGTATCTCCTAAACTAATATACTTTCTCTAGGTTTTTTGACGCCATTTTATAGTTAAAGAGACGCTCTTTACGATGTACTTTATTTCAATCTTCTAAACCTTCTAGAAGTGCCCTAAAATGCCCTTCAAAAGTAGGCAATTTTTTCATTAAAATCTGAAAATTTCCGTCGCAATTTTTAAAATTGGATAAAAAATTTACCGAAAAATTCGGCCCTGTTCTTCAACTAAAAATATTTTAACGCAAAAAGTTTGACCCTGCTCTTCAAGCAAAAATTATTTGAATACATTATTTCAACTCTGAGTTTTGGTTGAAAAAATTTTATTAAAAAAAAGTTCGGCCCTGTATTTCAGCAAAAAATATTGTTAAAATAATATTTGCATTTCCAATTTAGTTGAATTTAATCTACTTTCAAAATCAGAAAACAAAAGTTAAAAATTCCATTTATTTCAAAACCTGCATTTGGTGAAATAAAAAATTTCGTCACAAAAAAAAACAAAAGATTTTTTTGTTCGAAATTAAAATTTGAAATTTTGTATTTTTGATTATGGATTTTTAACAAACAACTAAATTTAAGTAATTAATCTTATTAATTTTTTTCTTAGCAAGCTTGGTTTAGATCTTATTGCTTTGTAAAGATCACATATAGGCAAAATACATTTAAACAATTATTGTCGTATAATTTTTAAATTATTGTCTAAAATAAAATTAGGTATTAAAATAATTGCAACATAATATTGTCCTCTTTGATAATTAGTGATAAAAGAGGACATTATTTAAATTTTTTGAAAAAAGTTATTAATTATGAAAAAAATGGCGGAGGCGCCTGACATTTTAAAGAGTAGTTTAATTAATTATTGAAAACAAACTTCCCCTTTGTGTAGAACCCCTCTGAATTATCCAATTCAAACAACTTTTCACTTAATAGCAGTAAGGGTTTTTTCTGTATATGTTATTAAGTGAAATGTGCACTCGCATAGAGACCTAAGAATCAATTATCTCGGGAACTAAAAGAGATAAACGAAAACCGAAAACACTATTATGCTCAGTATGACATCCTAGATAAGACAACATTTAAAAATTTTAAAATATAACATGTGCCTACAACATTTTCCGACACGATTTTCTCCGAAAGTAATAAAGTGAGAAAAAAACTTTCTTCATTTTGTTCATGCCGTGATAAAGATCTTAAAAATGGCAGATTTAGTTTTTCCATTTTCCAAAGTTGATCAAACACCACCTGAAAATACCTAAGAGGTTACACTTGACTCTTTGAGGACTCAAAAAATTTATTTTAAGCTAGAAGAAAATGGAAAACGCTATTCGATTGAGTTTTCCAAGGGGATGAAAGATATCAAGTCAATTTTCCGATAAAATCATTATTTCGGAAAATTAGTGGTAAATTAAAAACTGATCAAATAAAACCACCTCTCCAATTTTCCCCAAACTTTCCAAACTGATGTAAAACAAGGCCTGGAATCCACTAATCCAGGTTTGGTTGCGCTATCTTAATTAGTTTTCAAATTATTGACCGTTTTTAATTATTACATAAGTGTTGATAACTGTACATTTTAAAAAGCTATATAATGTGAAATTTATTTCTACATAAGAATATGAAAACCGTTTTTCTTTATCTCTAATGGTTTTCAAGATAAGTAAGAAAAACTGGTTTATTCGTTTTCTCCATAATTTCCTGGGTAAAAAATAAATATTGGAAATTTGACTTTTTTATTACAGAATATTGAAGAACATGTAATTCTATGTACTTTATCTTAATAAAATTTTGTTCTAAAATTAAGTGTTTTGTTAATAATCACCCTAATAAAGTCATGCAATGTTGCTATTCAAATTATATTATTTTTTTTATTAAAATTGTAAATAGGGCCTAAACGGTAAATGTTAGCAAAAAAAGTTACTAAAGTAATCGATGTAAAATTAAATTATCAATCAGAATCCGAAAACAGAATTTAAAAATTCGAACTTTTAATTTCGAACATAAAAAAGAGAAATCTTTTGCCTTTTTTATAACAAAATCTTTTCGTTAAATTTTTTTATGCATTTTTGTCGATTTTCACAAAGGGTGCCATCTTGTAGGGAATTCTTTAAGGATCAAGAATATGTAGTCCTTTTTTTCGTAGCCCTTTTAGTTCTCGAGATATTCGCAATTTAATCTCGACGGTTTCACGGGAAAAATTTAAGAAAAAAATTCGACCCTGTTGTTCGACCGAAAAAATTTTTAACAATAAAGTTCGACTCTGTTGTTCGACCGAAATTTTTTTAGGAAAATAAGTTAGACCCTGTTCTTCGCCCGAAAAATTTTAACTAAAAGTTGGACCCTGTTGTTCGACCGAAATTTTTTTTAAGAATATTAGTTCGACCCTGTCCTTCGACCGAAAAATTTTTAACAAAAAAGTTCGACCCTGCTGTTCGACCAAAACATTTTTAGGAAAATAAATTCGACTCTGTTCTTCGACCAAAAAAGTTTTAATAAAAAAGTTCGACCCTGTTATTCAGCCAAAAAATGAAATGTATTGGTCAAAAATAGCAATATTTAAAGGGCATTTTAAGACATTTTCACAGGGTTTACAGGGTTAAAAAAGGTATGCATAATGTAGAGGGTTTCTTAAACGTTAACATGACGTCGAAAAACTTTAAGATAATCGTTTAGTTCAGGAGATACAGGGCGTTTTCCACGGCATGTTTTCAAATTTTCATAAAATTGCCAACTTTTGAAGGGCATTTTAGGGAGCTTCTAATAGGTTTAGAGGATTGAAATAAAGTACATCATAAAGAGCGTCTCTTGAACTAAAAAATGGCGTCAAAAAAACTTGGAAAAGGTATACTAGTTTAGGAGATACAGGGTGTTTTCCACACCATGTTTTTAAATTTTCATAAAATTGCCAACTTTTGAAGGGCATTTTAGGGCATTTCTAAAAGGTTTAGAGGGCTGAAATAAAATGTATCGAAGAGAGAATCTATTGAACTTTAATATGACGCTGAAAAACTTCGGGAAAGTCAATTAGTTCAGGAGATACAGGGTATTTTGTACACAATGTTTTCAAATTTTTATAAAATTGCCAACTTTTGATGGGCATTTTAGGGCACTTCCAAAGGGTTTAGAGGGCTGAAATAATATGCATCGTAGAAAGGGTCTCTTTGACTATAGTATGGCGCTGAGAAACTTGGAGAAAAGTTATTATTTCAGGAGATACAGGGTGTTTTCCACACCATGTTTTCAAATTTATTTTATAGATGGAAGGTTTTGAAGGACATTTTAGGGCACATCCAACGAATTTAGAGGATTGGAAGGGTATGCATTGTATAAAGAGTCTTTCAAACCACAATATAACCGAAAGAAGCTGTAAATAAACCTGAAAATAAACTGTCGGGACATGAAGATTCGGAATGAATATAAAAACGCCATAAATTTCTTATTTTTTATATCAATTTCATTTAAAATACTGTACACATACAGATAAAAGATCGAGAAGTATAGAATAATTCTTCAATCGCTTCTTGTATTAATTTCTTTCGTAATAATATAATAATCGTATTTTGTTTTCGTCCAATTCATCTACATTTTTATGTAATTACATGATATGGCAACCGGTGATATGGTAGCTCAACATCGTAACGAATCATCGAATCGTTTTAAAAATCGTCCCTCATTATCATTTAAGCCGCCACGAAAATTGTTGGTTTGTTTGCGTGTGTGTGTGTGTGTGTTTTACGAATTTTACAAAAATCGGTATTTACACAAAAGATCTAGCATGTAGTCGTTGATTCGGTGCTGCTGCTATATAGTAGTTGATGCGCTCTTTAATTAACCTAGGACATAATCAATTGCTTACATAATCGATAAACGTAAATCTGTAATCGAACTTAGATACTAACGCTAAGTCTGTAATAATAATAAAATGGCCGATTTTTTAAAAATACACATCGTATAAAAGTACTTTTTCTCGTTCGCTCGCTTACAAACTAAATTATGCACTGCCGAAAAATATAATTAAACATTAATCCGACTACAATTAGAGATCAAAAATAATAAATCGATATCTTATTAATTCATTGTGTAAACGAACTGAATATGTAGAAAATAAAATTAAATAAAAATCAAAGAAAAAAAGAAAACAAAAAAATCATTGCCACAAAACGTTACGAGATTGATCGCAATAAAATCATATGTTATACATATCGATAAAATCTGAGTACCAATCAATAATCAAAACTTCAATCTCAGTTTATCTATCATCTTCACGTTGATTAACATCTCAATTTCGATTAGACCACGGAAGATTGCACCAAATTTGCGTGTAAAAAATACTATTGCAACGAAACTCTCAGTACGATATATTATTCTGCGCTGAATCTAAAATTAATAGCAAAAGTCTAATACGATTATCATCATGTAATCATCTTCTCCTCCGCATCATCATCATCATCTAGAATTGCTGCTAGTCGCTTACATTATCCGCTAAAAAAGGTACTCGCGTAACATTTATCAAATAAACTTTAGCAAAAAATTATTTAAAGTACACTTTCGCTGCTCGGCAAAATTAAAACCAAGATTTGATGAACACAAAGCCAGGAATCGCATTAAACAATTAATTAAACCGCCAATACTGTTCGCTCCAAAAGTGTTGATATACGTCTTGGTCATGTTCTCATTTTTCAGTTGCGCATTCGCTTCAATCATCATTTCATTAATTATAATCGTAATATATCTATTTTATATAATTTATATATAAATCTATGTATATAAAATCATCACATAAATATGTATTAATAGCGAAATGTTTAATTTTGTTGTAATTTTTGTCAGTATCCTTGTTTTTCTCTTTCTGTATCGTATCTTTTGTAGCGTGTGTGTTTGGATATTTGCGCTTATTCCGGCGGCAACATTACAATTTACACCTTACAACCTGTGCTCCGTCGCTTGGTTTATTGTTTAATTGTTATTGATCGAATTATTGTCATCTGCAATCCGTTTCAGTATCATTGTCTTCTACTCCGGCGATTGCAATAAATTCTTAATAATACATTTAAATTTAGAAAAGTTCTCTCTCCCCAACCGTGTAAATTCTGTTTATCTGCTACGTCTACATCCAGGACAATTTCAGCTGCAATTTCCCTCACAACCAATTTCATTGGTTCGGCCAAGTGTTTCCGTATTCGAGCTACCTCACATTCACATTCATCATCGTAATTTGTTTCTCTCGATACAAACAAAAAGTGTGTGTAAAAATTGCACAAAACTTGCTGATATTTGTAAGTACAGATATGTGTTCTCTCGTCGTAAAAAAATATCGGTTCCGGTTGTGTAAAATAAATAAAATTCACAATAAACTAATAAAAAGTACGATGCCGATTGTTGGCGACTGAGATTACCATTCATAATTTCACGCGTTTTTTTCTCTCTCTCTATATAAGATATCAATTCGTCTCCATGGATCATAGTTTTCCATATGGCGCACATCAGTAAACTAATTCATTAATACTATCATTCTTTTATAATAAAGGTGTGTGTAATTAGGCACTGCGTGTCAGGCTGTCGAGCGACGGCGATTGGCATCCTGGATCGCCATCGTCTTGATTTCTTCTTTTTGTTAAAGTTTATCCTTATTTGTTATTTGATTCCTTACATCGTATCCATAAATAGAGTACATACATCGAACGGGCGGAGAGGTGCGTTAGTAGGACTTCGCCGTTGTACGTGTTTCGGGGGAGGTGGTGGGTGGAATTCGGCGCTTACACTACTAATCTTTCACTAGTCGATAGATGTGATGCTGGGCGCCGTGTTCGGATGTCGACACCTCAAACACGTACGCCGTGCAGAGCAACGTCTCCTGCGTGTCACGATTACTCACCACCTGCAGAAAACCAAACAAAAATTAATATTATTAAGTTTTATTTGATTTTAAGATTATATCTTACTTGTAATATCGTAAAGTTTTCCAGCACGCTGTTCATCATGTACTTTTCAGGCAGATGCTTCAACTTGTGGATGAAATTAATCATGTATTCACACATCGGTGACCGGTGAATGCGATAAACAAACCGTCCGTTTTCATATCGCGCGTATTCCGTCTCAACCTTCTCTACGACCTGCTTGCCGAACGAGCACACCTTTGTGCTACACGTTATTGTCATATTTTCATTACTTTCATACCTAAAACATTCGCCGAAAAAAATGTTAATTCACAAGCATTTAAAATGCGCGTGTAAAACATGAAATTATTGAAAAACTTACGAGCTTGTAACACCGTAGAAAGCACCGGCCTCGTCCTGCACGTTCGTATTGAGATCCGCCCAGAATTTGACAAGGAAGAAGGCGTTCTGCGGGCCCTTGTCGTAGAGCTCCTTGAGACCGCCCTTCTTCTCCGGGAATTTGTCGTAGATTTGTCGCACATCAACGGCCTCCAGCAGTGGATCCGAATAGGTAATGGCGGGCCCGCCAATGTGAACAAAGAGATGCCTCTGGTACTGCAACACAAAAATAAACAATTAAAGAAAACGTTGAAGGAATGGTTACAGGTATGTACCTCGTCTTTGCTGCCCACTGATTCCTCCCGATTGGTAGACTCCATAAAGGCGGAAAACTCAACCAACCGCAATTTGTGCGTGGCAATCGCGCGGCCTTCCCACGGCGGCGGGGGCGGCGCTTGTAACGCGCCCACCTCCCCGCTGGATACCGCCGTTGCCGGTTTCCCACCAGGATAGGTACTTTGAGAGAAGGGTTTCACACTAAAATGTTCCCTTTTGATAATTTTACATTATTTACACAACATTTTTAAGAAACAGGATTAATACTTACTCTTGAGACGTGCCCGGCTGAAGTCCAGGTTGCCAAAATTGCTACAAATTAAATACGAATTAATTCATCCGATAAACAAACAAACACATAGAAACAGCTAAGCAGTGAGCAGCGATGGCGGCGATGGCGGCGGGCGGCAAACGGCAGCGACAGCAAACCCACTTACCGGCGGGGCGACAGGTGTGGGCGGATAGAGCTGCAGCTGCTTGCCGTGCATCGCCGCCGTCGCCGACACTATCTGCGCGCTGGACATCGTTGACATCGTATGCAGCGTCTTCTCTTTACCGTATGATCCTGCTAGTCATCAATATTATTCCTCAATTTTCAAAACAAAAAAAATACCTACCACTTTTAGTTTGGCTTGAATCTCCCGTAATTTCCGGCGGGCAAGAACCTGTATGTGACTGCTGACTTGTTTCCGCGTGCGCGTCTTCCCCGTCCGCAGTTTGATGTACCTCGCGATGAGCTCGTTGCGTCCTGTGGAATGCGATTCGAATCAAAATTAAAATTGCACAGGTACACAACGCCGAAACAATTACAAAACAATATTTTACCAGTTTAATATAAATAAGAATCGGGAAGAATGCGAGAAGAAACAGTACGCTGCGAAAACCCGAGACTTTCCAGGAGGAAAGAGGGGGGTGAGAGTGAGCGGGATTTTCGAAGCATTTTCAACATTTCCACCCGCAGCAACAGTGCCCGGCAGCGGCAGCAAAGACACGTCTTTATTTATGCGCGGAGTTTGTTCGGCAAGCGCGTCCGACCGAGACAAACGAAGGAAGCGGCGGCGAAGGGGTTGATGTTAGCGATGCTCGCTTATTGTGGTAGTAAACTCGTCCGGGCGCGGAGAAGTTTCGAGTGCGAGCGATCAGGAGAGCGAGATGGTTGGGAAAGAGGGTCAGGGTGGAAACTGCGCGCTGCGAGGTTTGTAGCGAAAAGCCAAGCGAAGACAACCCCCAAATACAAAGTGTACACGAAAACCAAACAAAAACAATAAAATAGAAACCAGCAAACATCAAAACCTATCAAAACAAAAACAAATACGATATAAAATCATAAAAATATTTTTTAAAGAAATAAATGTTAACACTTTGTATATCAGAGGATATTCCGCGCGCTTCCTGTTGGACGCCGACGCACGCATGTGAGAATGTGTGCGGGGGAGCGCGACCGAGGGTGGAAGCGCCCGGAAAGGGCACGAAACTATGTCAAGAATGTGCAATTAGTGAGCGAGCAAGTAAGCGCTGCTGCCGGCTTCGCATCGAAGGGTGGGCCAGGCCCAGAGAGAAGAAAATATAAAGAAGGACGGCTGCCGCCATCAGAGCTCTATCCTCGCCCGCTCCCATCTACATAAACCAGAACATCAGGGTTTGCGCAAAGTGGAACTTTTCAAAAAAAAAGAAAAAACACAAAATAGAAACAAAATCTAAGTCAGACATTTAATGGCGAATAGTTCAAGTCGTTCGAATGGCGATAAATTAGTGACACAAATATGTTTTTACGATTATCAGCGCAGCATTGCGCTGCGAATGTGACTCAACACCGTTGTGTGTGTATGTGCGGCGAATTTTACTGCTACTCGTATTTGCGCGCATAAACAGCTAAACGGTTCGCAATTATAACTTCTGTCTTATCTGCTGCGGCTGTTTAGCCGCGCCGTCATACAAAGTGCGGCGTCATGCACACAACGCTTTAAATCATTCGCGTGCGCTGAATGATATGCGCCCAACACCCGGTAAATATGCCTTCATACGTTACGCATTTGCAAGTCTAATGATGTCAGAGAACTACCGATATAATTGCCCGATTCCCCTTGCACTTATGCGCTATTTTTATTTTATTTTTTTCCTATATATTTTAAATGCGAAACGTCGACGACAAAGGGAAACCGAGCGTTTTGCAGGTTCATTGCGTTCGCTTACCTTCTGCTCGCCTGCCTTTCTTTCGATTACTCACGCAATAAATGCATTACACGATTACAATAACCGGCATGACAATGTTTTCATTTTTACTTTTATTTCGTATAGAAAAAACTACACTTTTCGCTGCCTGGAGAGTACCACCTGTAGAACTAGCAGAAACAATGTTTGAGTGTTTTCCCAACTCTCGGAGTTTTCCGGCGTGCGCGCGCGCGGTATGTAATTTTTCACCGCACAAAGGGCGAAATGAAACATAATCAAGCCGGCAACAAAGAGCCACTCGACGTTTTAGTTCATTTGGTTTTAGTGGCCGGTGAAAAACGACCGAAATGGAAATAAAACGCGGAACAATAGTTGCTTGGTCGTTTATAAACGACAATTCCAACACCAGAAACAGACAAAGACAGAGTCCAATAAAAACCAGTGGGTGGGTTTCCTTGGACATTCGTGACTATGCGCCGGCTGAGAAAAACCAAAAACGACGACGATAGCGCTCCTATTCCGAAGTGGACATCAAGGGTTGGTATGCGGACAATGGAATCGGAAGCTCAAGACGACGCAGATGCAGAAAACAACCACCGCCAACCGAAGGCACCAGCCTTTATACATCTATGAAACGGAATAAGTAATAAAAATCCAGCAAGAAGGAGAATTGAATGCGAAAAAGGAAAAATTGCCGATTCTACAAAACAGAAATAAAAACCAACACACGTGTGAGTGGAGACGGTGGACATGAACCACCCATGGCTATCCACCTCATCCCACTTTCCGGACTTCCGAGAAGACGCAGCGCGCACACTATTGACCCAAGTCACCACTCCACTCTCCACTCTCCACTCTCGAGTCTAGTGTCCGGGCACTAAGCAACTGGAGGTGGAAAAACCGGACCCGAACTGCAATTTCTGCATTTCACGAAATCTCTTTCCATTGCCATGTCTCGTCACGTCATGTCATGCAAAACAGAATGCAATTGTCTACAAGAATACGAGTCGCAGGACTCTCACAAGTTTCCCGGGACAAGAGGGTGTGTGCGAGGTGGCAGCGTGGAAAATCGAAAGCGATCGAGTGTTATAATATGATTCGCACACACATGACAACGTCCAGAATCACATTCTCCGAAAACAGCCTCCAAACATTCAATACTCACACATACATGGCGAAAAGAAAAAAAAATGGGGCGTGTCTTGAGTTTCGGTCAAGTGGAAAGCAATAAAGTTTCCCCGCGTGCGTGCTATATATTTCTTCTCGGGTACTTACCATACATTTTCCCTTCATCGGAGAGAATGATTTTCCGTCGGCCGCATGGCGGGTATATGGCCAACGCCTCCTGGAAGGACTGCTCGATGTCCGGACTCCAGACACCTTCGGCGTCGGCCGCCGCCATATCTTTTTCGTCCTGCGAATAACAAACGCACATGATGCACAAACATTCACTAAAACTCAATTAAAACATTTCCCGCATTTATATTAGAAAATGCGCTCAAAAACATGTCAATAAACATGAAAATAAATAAAACGGCCGGGATTTAGCGTAAACATCGTATTGTTCCAAATCGGCGATTAGTCCGATTTAATTAGTTTCAAGTCGATGACGTGCCGGACCCGATGACGTTTGCGGTCGCGTCAATTCAATCCCACTATGATGCTGTGTGTTCCGAGTGTGATTACGTCCACAAAACTCAATAAAAATGTTATCAATGTTTTTAGATTTTAGTAAACATAAAATTAGTAAGACTAGAAAGAGTCATATTGGAACCTTCTGATGTTTATTTTAACCAAATCGAATAATATATCATCAAACGCGCGTTTCATGCGCGCGGAAAATCACTTCTCTGGTTTATAAATAAAATAATCGCACTTACATCGCTCATGTCCCCGACATCGAGGTTTTTCGTGTCCGGACCCGGGCCATTCGCATCGGCCGCGGGTCCTGTGACCGCTGTCCACGGTGACGAAATCGTGCCTGCACTTAATAACGTACCACCTGAAACAATAAAAAAACAGAAAAATTTATACACATTGTATGTAATATTTATGTAATATTCTAGCCCTTGGTATTCGTACCAAGAACAATAAAACGCGGTAATGTTTTCATCCACTATTTAATATAGCGTGTTGTCGACCAATTTCGGCTCGAGCAAGTATTTATTATTGCGCGAATAAATAATATTATGACTTTTCAGTTTTTAGCTATTACTAGTTGCGCGCGATATCGTATCGAAAGTAATTTCGCCGGAATTCGGCATTTTCGCGAATGCTGTGTTTAGAGCGCGGGCGGAAAAAACACCGAGGGAAAAATGTGATTACAAAATACAAAAGCGTTCGCAAATAAAGTGCAACCTGAGCACCAGCGCACGAGTGAGCGTTTGGAGGGGTGGTGGCTTTTCACCTCGAATTTTCCGGCTCGTCCCGGCGCTTATTGTCTTTATAAATGCGCCGTGTTTGTTACGTATATTACGCTTCTACGAGTAGGTACGCTTTCAATTACATACAATATGTCCGCGCAGTAATAAAAAATAAACAAAATATTTCCACAAAAAAATTAAAACATTTATTGAGTGTAAATATTATTTTTATTCATGTGAGTAAATATTTTTTTATTATGTGGACACAGTGTATGTTTGCGCTGCGGTAGCCGCCGCCGAGCAGCGGGCGCACGGGCTGTAAATTCACCTCGTAATGACGGGCGCCTGACGGTATGGAATGCGGCCCTTAATATCATACACATGCACACGTCGGCGGCGCGGCGGCGGCGGCAATATAAACGCGCGCGCTCGGCCGTTTCGGGTCGGCGCACACAACAATTCCGAGGGTGGGTTACGTACAACCACCACGCATCTGCGTTTATTCGATGTGTACTTACAAGCAAGGACAATGTTGAAATTTATTTTCAACTAGTGAATTTCCTCAACAACAACAACAGAAAAAAAACTACGCTTTGATTCACAAATCGATAGGTATTTAATTGCGAAATTAATTAAACGAAACATTTGACCAATCAGGCCGAAAATAACACATCAACACATCAATGACGTCCGGCGGGGGTGGGGGTTGTTTTGGTATGCTCAAATAAAGTGCGCGAAACGAGGGCGCAGTGGTCGTTTAATTAATTCCGCACGGCCCCTTTTTAATTAAAATATCACCCCGTGTGTTCAACTGCTACACAACTACCTCCAGAAAAAAAATCTCACAAAATTCGATAATAATTCGATCAGTTAAAATCGAAAATGTTTAAATTTTGTTATAATTTCCCGAGGCCTAAACTACCCTCTTCGGTAATGCGTGCGGTCGGGTGTGGAATTGTTACCACGCGCAGACAACAGGAGACAACAAAGAGACGGTCCGGTCGAGCGCGTTTAATAACTGGGGACCGTTAATAACCGCCGTCGGTATATCACCCCGCACGTCGAGCGCGCCGGCAATGGGACACGGACAATACAACCCCGGCCTCCACCGCCGCCTTCCACTTCCACACTCAATTGCGCAGTTTTCCACGCTACTATCCCGCATTTGCCCAAGATAGGAAAGTCGCAAGGCACAGGGGGATGCAGGAGGACAGCCCCATTGTCGTCATTATCAGTTTCGCACGTCGTGGATATTTATTGCCTAATTATAACGGGACCAAAGATTAATAGCGTAAATTATAAAAATTTTGGTTTGAAAAAAGTTAGGGGGAGTGAAATACCGGTATACCGGTTATTTTTAAATTCAAATGTCAATATTTTTCATTAAATATCATAAATAAAATAATTTATTTATAGCCTAAATTGAAAAATACCGGTATTAATACCGGTATACCGGTATTTTTCCAAAAACACAAAAAATTTTCAAAACAAAAATGAAAAACGAATAAATTTTCTTACAATTGAAGAAAAAAATTAATTTTTCGATATCGGTATACCGGTTATTTTAAATTCAAATGTAAATATTTTTAATTAAATATCATAAATAAATTGATTAATTTATAGCCTAAATATAAAAATACCGGTATTAATACCGGTTAACCGGTATTTTTTTCATACACCGATAATTTTCAATACAAAAGTCAAAAACTTAAAAATTTATTTTCATTCGATTGAAGAAAAAAATAATTTTTCGATATCGGTATACCGGTATTGAAATAAAAACTCCCAACATCTCTATTTCCGATTTGTAAAAGTACTTGTCCCGGTTGTTCTACAAGTGTAGAATGGAAGCATACAAGAGTTTTTGTGCTCTTTGCGCTCGCGCGCTCGCAGCAGCGTTGAAAGCTTTATTATTTTATTGTTGACGTTATTGTGCGGTAAAGTTGATGGTCATCGGTTGGCGAGGCGACGTTGCCGTAGCGCCTAGGTTGAGATCAAAGGCGAGTGCCTAGAAAACCTTACCAACGAGAAGAACTAGTCTCCGGAGACTGGCCGCGGAGAGAAATGAAAGGGTACCCTGGGTGCCCCACCATGTCAACATGTGTGCACATGTGCACAATCTATACTTACACCTAATGTTGCAAAAAATAATAAAATCAACAAAATTTTGAAGAAATTTTGATCTAATTTTTAAAAATTTATGCGATTTTGATGATTTTTTACCGTTTTTACCAGAGTACCTGGTCTAGCACGAAGAAAAGAGAAGGTGAGGTAACATTTGGTGAGTGTACCAACACTTGCAACGGGCTTGCAACCGCGCATGACGAGATGACTCATTCAAAAACTCGTTTTCTATGGGTCGGCAACGCGCGCGCACGCCTTACCTCTACCATACCATGATGTCTTACCATGTGTATTCTTGCGTGTGCATCCGAAAGGTAGGTAAAATGTTAGATACACGCTCGCACAACACTAATCACGCGTTAAACTTAATTTTAGAGTGAATAAACCAGTGACTCATTTGCAAGTCAAACAAAATCCAAACACACTCAAACACACTCAAGCAGATATATTAGCGAGTGTCATCGAAAATGAACATGACTCACACAATTACACAAACGAATTCGCAATAATTAATAATCGAGTGGAGTGCGAATTTCGAGTTTTATCTATTTTCGCCGCGGTGATAACAGCTTAGTCACACAATCAAGTAGAGAAAAAAACACACTATTGTTACGATTATCATCAGCTCAATCATCTGATAATACCGGATATTGTTAATACAGTGAATGATAAACACTTTTCGCGCCCGGGAAGAGTGAATTGAATATTTGTTGCGCGTAATAATTAACATGTTGCAAGTGCATGTGGCCGAGGTTTTAATTCAATTTGCGAATGCAAAGCGCGCCAACTCGATAGCGTATACGAGTATAATTTAACGAACTCGTTAGCGCTTCCTACACAACAACAAAACGTAACTCCAGGAGATGAAAGCACACACAACATACAACACACAACATAGTTCGACAACTTTAACTACTTCAATATTATATTAGCAGTCAACTATTCCCACTTTCCGGTTTCTGACATTCATTATGTTATGCTGTACTCGTCGTATAGAAATTGTATGGAATTATTCACGAAATTAGTGCAAAAGCAGCTCGCAAACGATTTTTATTTAGATGGATAACTAAATCTCCATCATGTTAAAACCCAATTAGTGTATTCTGTAGTTGAAATTTCAATATAAATCTAAATCCATCTTCAAGGTTCCAAGCAGTTTTTCAACTACTACTGGTATAATAATAGCGCGAATTTTTCGTGGAATCAAAGCATCATTTAGACATCCATACAGACATCTACACAGATGCCAAAACCATAAAAGCTGTGACGCAATGTATGTAACAAATGTTGCACAGTCAAACATTAGTTGGTAATGTTTTTTTAAACACCCTGTATGTTATGACTTCCTCGAAGAGTGAGTTGGTGTGTGTGTGTGCGCATCCGAAACGAGTTTGTGTTATGTGGAAATGAAAAAGAAAAAGAAAATGGAAAGTCCGGTGCGTTATGCTCGCCAGTAATCGATTAAGACTCTCATTACTGTTTAATTGTCGAATAATTCGCAATTACTACTTACTAGTGACAAGTTAGCAGGTTTTAAAATGTGTACTATGTATTTATACTCATATTACATTTATTTTTCATCATATTTTTTTGAATGGGTCTATGTTATATAACTTTTTTGTTGAATAACTTCTAAACTATTTTTAACACCCTGTAAGTTATTTTTTTTGCAATAAAAACTAACCTATGTTATTTTCCAATATTTAAACTATCTCTATCCCAAAATTTATAAAAATTGTTCCAATGGTTTTTGCTCCAAAGCGTCACAAACATACAAAATACATTTCACTCGAATTTATATCACATTGAGATTGAATACAATGAAATTAAAAAAAGGGCTGGACACGAAAATGAAAACAAAACCAGGCACAAATTCATTGTTCTCGCACGTGCATACAACGTGGGCTTTTAGTCCACGTTTCTGCCCACGAAACGCATGAATTTATGATTATCATTATCATATCGTGCTTAAAAGCTACTCCAACATACAAATCTTTCTTTTTCAGTTGCTTTTTTTTCCCTTTGCTTTCAAGGGTAGTAATGGTATAGTAAACCAACATCACAATTCATAGTCACGTACTAGGGCAGGACACGATGTTACAAAATACTACTTCATACAATATGTCACGAACTGGACATAAACACCAAATGATTTAATACGAGGAAAAATCGGTGAATTATGAGTTTAATACCGGTATTTTCGAGGGTGACCGTAATTTTTAATCCAAATACCGTAATACCGGTTTTCTACATCGTACAGAAAAATATCTGTGTTCGAAAATAAAAATACCGGTATACCGGTTTTCATCCCGATAGTTCGGTATACCGGTATTTTTTAAAATCGAAATATCGGTATACCGGTTTTAATATAATATTCAAAATTATATAATTTGAAAATAAAAAAATACCGGTATTTCTCACCCCTCTAAATGATTTTACTTCGTTGCTCGTTCTTTGCTTTTCAAGCCTGATTGAGTGTTTGTGAATTAGAATGGAAATGCGTCGAGGGAAAAGC